ACATTGGGTATATATATATATATATATATATATATATATATATATATATATATGCTCTTAGTCTTTATTCATTCTTGTTTTGTTTTATTTTTTGTTTGTCGATTGACATCATGAATGACTGTAATATTTTCTAAACTCCAGCAGAGTCTGACGCTTGGAGACATGAGAGTATGGGGTGCTGTTATAAGACAAATAACTTGAGAAATTCAGGTGTGAAGCAGTATTCAGCCAGAGAACACGTACACACCACAGGTTTACACAGGTTTATCTAGATATTGTTTAGTTGTTTTTTATTACTTGTTAGAAAAGGTTGGTCTTACTAATTGTATTATACATTTATGTGTTTGTGTGTGTGTGTGTGTGTGTGTGTGTGTGTGTGTGTGTAATATATAATTAAGTATTTTTAACAACTGAGGTAAAAAAAAGAAAACTGTATTTAATCTAACAGGTAAATGCCATTCATTTTCTGCTTGGTATTTTTTATTCTTGTACCACACATACATTAACATTTAAATTTTTAAATTACAAAGCAACAGGATGTGGCAAAAATACACACAAAAAAGAAAAAAAAATGTAAATCTCAAAACACAATGATTCAGAAAATGGTCTCCAGCCGTCATTAAAAATATCTTGTTTACTTTGCCTAATAAACAATTCTCTGTTCTAAATACATAGTCATTTACAGAATTCATCCACTTAATGTCAGTTTTTCTTTAATTCTGACCAGTTACCTTTTTCACCATTGCAAAACAAAAAAGCAAATATTTAGAAGGAATATTTAACAATGATAAATCACCTAAGACACACCATAAAGGAGATAATGAAATAGTGGAATAATACAATCTGAACATACAATACAGCTAGTTTCAAGTTTTTAGATGTACAAGAGACTGATGTACAAGTCAACATGACTACAACTTACATATTTTTTGTATATTCATAAAAATACCTTTCCAAAAGTAATCATTGATTTGCATAACTGAATCCCTTACCCATTTACTAGAAAGAATAGAGGCAGTTTTATCACTATATGACAGTACTTTATACAGTTTAGATAACGAGCCTTGATGTAGTATTCTAAAATGACCTAAATTGATTGTTTAAGGAAAATGGGGTTGATATTTTCAATACCTTGTTTTCCAGTGCATACCAAACATGATTAGACAAGATCCTCAAGATTATATCCATTGTTTATTTTCTGAAAATCCAAGAATGATCAATTAAATAATGAACATAGTGTTATACCCACCAATAAGAGATCTACAAGAACTAAAACACAATGGGCCTCATTCACTAACCGTTCCTAAGAAGAAATTTCTGATTAAAACCCACTTACACAGCTTTTAAGAAGATTCTGACGTTCACGAATGTTTTCCTAAAAAAGTTTGATAATTTAAATATAAAAGCTCCTTAAGTGTTACAGATATATGTGTACCTAAATATCTAATTGTTGTAATCCACTTAATAATAGGCAAGCACTCTCTTTATTAAAATTCTTGAGGGAAAGTATTTTAGATTTTGACCACTTTAGTGCATAATCAGATATGCCACCAAACTGTTCAATTAAATTAAATAGTTCTAAAAGTGATTTACTAGGATTTCGCCATAAAAAGAAGAATATCATCATAAGCTAATCTTACGTTTTTAGTTTGGTGTGGATAATTCCTCAACCATACAGCTTTGGTGAATTAATGCTGCAAGGGGCTCAATAAAGATAGCAAACAGTAATGGTGACAGGGATCAGCCCTGCTTAGTGCCCCGCCCATTAATTTTTTTCTGTAAAGCTGCTTTGTGACAATGCCCGTTGTAAAAAGCGCTGTATAAACTTTGACTTGATTTAACTTAACAAAACCTTTATCGAACCCAAAACTTTCTGAAGCTGAAAACAAGAAGGGCCACGATACCTTATTAAAGGCTGTTTCAGCATCTAAGGTGACCACAGCAGAAGGAATTTCTTGCTTATTTGCTAATGTAATTAAATTCTGAAGATGCCTAGTATATGGATGCATGTAATGACTGACTCCAGCCTGGTGGCAAGTGCTTTACTAATTATTTTGATGTCACATTTAACTAAAGAAATTTGTCTATAACTCGAACAAAATAAGGGATCTTTATTCAGCTTGAACAAGAGTGATATGAAAACAGTATCCATATGAGGTGGTGAAGTAGAAAACAACCTGTACCATATATTTTATTAACTTCAGAACATTGGAGTGTTGCTGCCAAGAGCTCTCTCTTTTTGCCCAGGGTCTGGACATTTATAAGTAACTCTAATATTGTCTATACTATTGCCCTAATAACTGTCTGTAATCTAATGTCTTCAAAAAGAATTAAAAGAATCAAAGAATATCAACAAAAATGAAAAAGGATAAAAAGGAATGAAAAAAAGACTTCAGCCGCTGAGTTCTTGTGGAAGGAAGGAAAAGACCTTCGCTTTATTGAGCATCAAATGGCAAGATGGTCCCTGGTCAACCACAGTGCGAATATCATCTCAAAACATCCCTTTTTATTCCCCTCTGGGGTGATGAGGTAATCTCCCCACCCCATTTACACAATTCCATGCCATTTTAGTCCCCATCATATCCGAACTTTACACCTTTTTTGGTAACCTTTAAAACCAAACGCGTATGATGTCTTTTAAAAACACTCTGGTCTGACTCTTACCAGATTGTTCTCTCCTTACAGGGCCCTCTTGCGCAACTCTCCATAGGGCCGTCTTACACAACCCTCCATATATGTATAAGAGTGTACCTCAGCTATAACTTAAACTGTCATCTGGTACAGCTCCCTTCTGTGCGCCCAGAAGCTCTTCCCCGTTAGAGAGTCTACTGCATACAGTCCATAGTCTGCTTCCCTATATTACCTTTTTAGGAGGGCTCCAAGCTCTCTAGTCAGCCAATGTTTTATTCAGTCTTTTCCATCAGGAGCTGAAAGACCCCAAAAACATGTATAAAATTCAACAGGATAACCGTTTATGCCTGGAGTCGTATTGTTTGTCATTCTTTCTAGTGACATAGTTTAGCTCCTCTGAAGTTAAAGGTACAAAGCAGCAGAGTGTTGACTACCTAATCTGGAAAGCTTAATCTCACGGAAAAAAACTTGACATTTCTGATGAAGAAGGGTGCTGAGAAGATGAGTATAACTCTTCTTAAAACTCTTTAAACACATTATCTATACCTTGTGGTATGTGCATAACATTACCTGAAGAGTCAAAAACGCTAACTATTGGTGATTTCTCAACTTTATTTTGCAACTGATCTGAAAGAAGTCTTTCTACTTGTAGCCTACTTTTCTCTCTGTATTCATAATTATGCTAAGTCTCAATAACAAAATACAATTCTTTTATCTGTTACTTGAAGTTCAGCTTTAACCTAAAACATTTTATTCTGATTCTCCAATGAGAAAGAGGTTGAAAGTAGTTGTCCTAAATGTTTCAGCTCTCTTTCTTATACTCTTTCCTTTCAAAGTTCTTGCTTTTACAATATAATATTACTATGCCTTCTATTTCCCAAAGCAAAACTGAGGAACATCCTGCATAGTCTTTTGTTCTAAAAATAAGCCCATTCTTTATGAAGATTGATAAAATCCTCATCCTGCAATAGAGAAGTATTAAAGCACCATCTGAATGGTGTGAACAGTATTCACCACATATTCAAAACTGACTTTGCTGTAGTGGACATAAAAAAAGAATATAGTCTCTCAGTGGGATTAAAAACATGCCACACTTTGCACAGACCAACTTCATCATCTACTACTACAACTATCATATGAGGGGGCTGAAGCTATTTATATTTAGGAGAAGTATATGAACAATCCAAAGAAGGATTCAGAACAGTATTAAAATCTTCTCCAACTATCAAAACAGAATCTGCATTTTTTTTAATTCTGTAAAAAGATTATTAAAAAATACCAGACAGTCTTTATTAAGGGCGTAGGCGTTCACAACGGTTATTCTTTTTATGTTGCAATACTGACTATCAGGGTCAGAATGCTAGACTTAAACAAAAAGGGACCATCTTAGTAATTAACCTCTTAAACTCTATGGAACCACCGGTGGTTCATTTCATATTTTATAAGCTACATTTAAAAATTGGGTGTCATATGAGAGCTGTAACTGTCTTCTTTACAGTCAAATAGATGAGTAATGTAAAGTTGTTGGATAGCTAATGATAATTTGGCCTTAAAATAAGCTATGTCTCATGACTACGAACTACAAAATATGAATTACAATTATGAATATTCATATCATACACAAAATTATACTTCAGCCAAGTGTACAAATCATATATCAAACGAAAGGGCTGATTCCCAGGACTATGTTTATATTCAGAATATTAATTCTGTAAGATGACCCAATTTTGAGTTATTGCAGAAAATATTTGCCTTTCATTACCACTGATTTTGAATTGAACAATATATTTTTTTATACTTTTACTTTCTTATTTCCTTCAATACACACCTTAGGCTTATAAACTTGACGTTATTAAATTCCTAAGATTCTTCTGAAACTAACGACCCCTCATTTGTCCACCTACGACCTTCCTATCATAAATAATCCACTTACGTATTCAAGTAGGTCATAACCTGTTAGAATGGGTCTCTTATTTTGAAACGTAATGAAAAAGGGAAGCGATGACGCAATGACGTCATGCCTTATTTGGTCATGAAGGAAGGGCCTTGAGCTTTCATTTGACACCGCCCATGAGACTCTAGCCCTCCCCCACGCTGCGGGAGGGGCTTGGGTAAAGGGACAAGTAAATAATGTTTTTACGCATAGACCGGATAAAGGCGATAAACGCGTTAGAAACGCCTGAAAAACCTATAATCCGTGTTTTCCGGTTTGGTTTTAGCGACGGCCTGTAGAAAGAAAGAATTTACTAAGGGTTTGCCAGTTAGGTTAGATAGAGTTAGTATTGACGTCAGTTCTCAGTACTGGAATGGAAGAAGTGTTATCAGTGCATCCCCAATAATTAAGTAACATTTAAATTTTCTCTTTGTAGCCACCAGAGCCACAATCCAAATGAGTGAGCGCATGGCCAGTGCAGGTGCTGATTGTGTATTGGTAGTGACACCATGCTTTTACCATGGCAGAATGGGTAGCAGGGCTCTCATTCATCACTATACACAGGTGAGTTACATGTAATGATGGGGTCTTCTCATTTTTATAAAATATTTTGTCTTCACGGTATGTTAGTTTAAACAAATTCAAAACAGTTTTCTGCTTTCAGAAACTTATGTGATGAACAGCCTTAAAACTGATGTTTTAAAATATCGTTTGGGTGTTATTTGAGCAATAACTAGCAATATTTTGTTTTATTCAATAAAATGTTGCAGAGTTCTTTCTTGCCATTATTTAAGTGGCACTTTATGGAATATGAAATTGTAAATAAGGCTGTTACATACTAAATGCAGTACACATTAACATCTGAAAATATACAATATTCTAAAAATATTTTTGCACCATGTACACCAGATGAGGCATTTTTTTCAGATTAAAAAAATTTGGCTGGAATTTATTTTAAATTACTCCTTTTGTTGTTCCAGTTGTATTTCTCTCTGCTATGGCATTAGTGAAGTTTTTCTGGTTACTTTTGCTGATGCCTAAATCCAGCAATGCTTAAAATCTGTTTTGTAGCCAAAATGCAGAATAATGAGGTAGACGAGCTAAACTAAAATGGTGCTCTTTTATTAGAGTAAATGTAAACAGCATGCAGACCATAGAAATCTCGCTACATGCCAGAACCTGAACGGCAAGTTCAGTGGGCAGTCTCTTCCATATGCAGTGCGTGGAGGGAGGGTGTCGCTGTATATAAACATGATATAATTATAAAAGTGTACAAAACAGAAAAATAAATTATTTATAATTTAAATAAATTTATTCATGATTCCTGCTCTTACTGCCACGTTCCTCCCTTAAACAAAGGACACATGCACACACATTATCTATGCCGCTTGTCCTCCTGGGTTGCGGGGGTGCTAGGATTGTATTACTGTGTGCTTTCGTGTCATTTTTTTAATAGTGGATTGCCGTTGCCAAAATAAATTAAAGCACTAAACAAACAAGTCTAATTTAAATGTAAATGCTTTTTAAGAGCTTTTTATATGAACACAGCAGCCAAAAAGGCATTAGCTTGGTGTGAGTGTACATTTTTTGTTTGACTGTAGATTTTCATTCTAGCAAAGATCAGTTGTTTGAGAATTGAGACCAGCTGATTTAACAAGCAGAATCAGATCTGCTTCAGCTTGGTTGGTATGAACACTTGCTGCAACACCTTCCCTTTGCAAGTATGATATGTTTAAATTTAATTTAGATTCCTGTGTAAAAATGGAAAAATTTGTTTCATGTGTTAATTCCCTCCAAACAGGTGGCAGATTCCAGTCCTGTTCCTGTCATACTTTACAATGTACCAGCCAACACCTTTGTAGACCTGCCAGTGGATGCAGTCATCCAGTTATCCCAGCATCCAAATATAGTTGGCATCAAAGATAGTGGTGGAGATGTGAGATATGCTTTCATTTATTTCTTTACTCATATATTAAAGGTGAAATGTTTTTTCCACTTACTTCTTTTTTTTAATTAATCATGTTATTTATTATTATATACAGCATGCATATATTAAGTATCTATGCAGTTACATGGACATAAATCTTTTGTTTCACACCCGTTTTACCCTTTAATTCCTCCTTTTTTTTAGAACTACTATTCTTAGACTTTTTATGTAGGATAATTTATGATGCAGGATGTGTACAGTGTGTAGCATTTAATATCAGATAGAACTGGTTACTTATACTGCTTAATTTTGTAGGATACAGTCAGAGATATAGGTTTCTTCATTTCTCTTTTCACACTTGGTTAACTAATAGATCACAAGAATAGGTCTGATCGTGCACAAAACCAGGTCACAAGATTTCCAAGTGTTGGCAGGATCAGCTGGGTTCCTAATGGCTGCATACTCAGTAGGTGAGAGTCAATTCCGAGTCTCTTTCTTTCATGATTACCCAGGTAAACAATATCGATATGCAAAGTGGTATACACTCTAAACATTTTATGGACTACTTATGTGAAATAACCATTTTTATAAAACAAATTTTACAACAGTTTTGTATGACAAGTGGAATGGCATGACCTGTGCACCTGACTGATGCTAGTGGTCTTTTTTGTAGACCTGATGACGTGGTGTAGTTTGTGGATGTCATGTTTGGTTGCAGAGCTGCACCAGACTGTGATGGAGATGGTGATGACAGATTCTATAATGGCTCAATAGAATGGAATCAGCAGCTCTTCCGGCAGGTTGAACTTCTTCAGCTGGTGTGGGAAGTACATGCTCTTCTGGGCTCTTTGTGATGGAGTGGATGTTTATGTCATTCAGGTCCTGTGTGACTGTGTTTTTTTAATGTTCTGTCTCTGGAAGAGTCAGCGCACATCTTTCTCATGGATCTTCAGTCGAGGCTGGGTGGCTGGCTGTCTGGCAGACAGATTCGGGGGAAAGATGCTGATATTTGTGTTGTGGTTTAAAAAAGGGTGCGAACTGGAAGCTAGAGAGTTTTGTGGTGCTATGCTTTTCAAACCTGTAGTAGTATATTTTCCTCTCAGCCAACTAACAATCACTCATTGTCTTGGGGAAATGGCTATTGGTAGTTACCCACAGTTGATGGGTCATTCGCTGATGAGAGCAGCACTTTTTTGGCTGTTTTTACCTCTTAATTTAGTGTTTTCTTTGCCTAGCTCCACTTCTGTATAGCACATCCTTGGATCGATGAAGCTGGGTTTGGCGTTGATCTAAGGCCAGTTTTTGTGTTTATTTCAAGCCCTGGAGGTGGTCAAACTAGTCCAGAAGGCCGGTGAGCAGTGGGCACCTGATCAGGGCAGATGAAGCAACAGCATCAGACCACACAGGATGGCCAGTTATTCAGCTTGGCAAAGAAACACACAGGCAGTTACTTCTGTTAAGAGTGACTCATTGCTGTACACAGTGTTGGCAGAGTGCAGCAGAGACTCTGGTAGGTCGAGCTATTACAGCCTAACTAAAAGAGAGAGCCAGAAGGTAGCAGACATGAGGGCTCCCTGAATGACTGACATCCAGTCTTTTATGTCTTTTACACAGTCCTCAGTTTAATCTGGTTTGGTTGGTATATATAATTGTGTGTCATCAGCTTAGCAGTGAAAATTGATGTCATGTTTACTGATAATCGTAGCTAGTGGTAGCATATATAATGTAAATAGAAGAGGTAATAAAACAGAGCCTTGCGGAAAACACGATACTGTACTTTTGTAAGAACAGATGATTTGCCATTTATATTTGCAAACTGATAGCGATCAGGCAGGTAAGACTTGAACCAGAAAAGATCTATTCCTGTTACTCCTGTGAGGTTTTCTAGCCTATCTGGTAAGATACAGTGGTCTATTCTATCAAATGCTGCACTAAGATCAAGCAGAACCAGCAAAGATACATTTCCTTGGTCACAGGATAATAAGAGATTGTTTACAATTTTCACTAGTGCTGTCTCTGTACTATGATGGGATCTAAAGCCAGACTGGAATTTTTCATGTATATATATGTAGTTGTTCCCACCTTTGTAGTTATAACAGCTTCCACTTTTCTGGGAAGGCTTTCTACGAGATTCTGGTGTGTGTCTGTGGGAATGTTGGCCCATTCATCCAGAAGAGCGTTTGTGAGGCTCACAGTCTCTCTTCTAGCGTTTGTGAGGCTCACAGTCTCTCTTCTAGTTCGTGTTCAGTGGGGTTGAGAGCAGGGCTGTGTGTGGGCCAGTAAAGTTCTTCCACACCAAACTCACCCAACCATACCTTTGTGGACCTTGCTTTGTGCACAGTCATGCTGGAACAGAAAAGGGCCTTCCCTCAAACTGTTCCCACGAGGTTGGAAGCATACAATTGTCCAAAATGTCTTGGTATGCCAAAGCATTAGGTTTTTGTTTTTTTTTTGTTTTTTTTTACAGTTGGCACAGTGTAGTCAGGCAGGGAACATTCTTCTGGCATTCGCCAAACCCAGGCAAATCCATCAGACTGCCAGATAAAGAAGCATGATTCATCACTCCACAGAATATGTTTCCACTGCTATGAAGTCTTGTGGCTTTACACCACTCCACCCAATGCTTGGCATTTGGCATACAGCTACTCAGCCACGGAAACCTATGCCATGAAGCTCCCGGTGCGCAGTTTTTGTGCTGATGTTAATGCCAGAAGAAGTTTGGAACTGCAAGCATCAGCAGAGTGTTGGAATGTACTTCAGCACTTTGTGAACCCAGTCTTTATGTGGCCTGTCACTTCATGTCTGAGTTGCTGTGGTTCACAAATGCTTCCATTTTTCAATAAAACCACTCAGTTAATTGTGGAACATATAGGAGGGAAGAAATTTTGCAAACTGACTTGTTGCAACAGTGGCATCCTATAACAGTAACACCCTGGAATTCACTTAGCTCTTTAAAACTACCCATTCTTTTACAAATGTTTGTGAAAGAGGTGCTTAAGAGGTGTGTCCCAGCACTTTTGTCCATATAGTGTAGCTGTATCTCATTTGTTTTAAGATTGTAAGGATTGAATAAATAAAGTGGCAGAAGGGTGTGCAAAAGTAGAGTGGTCAAATTATATACTGATAGATTTGATATTACCCTTAGTCTTAGAGGTCTCTGTGTATGTTCCTGTTAAATACATGTTTCCTGCTTTTTCTGAGACTGAACAGTTAATCATATGTACTTAATGGCCTTTTTCAAATGGAAGTGAAATAAAGGCAAAGGTGGCTCTGACTTTTGCACAGTATTGTATAGGGGTGGGAATCTCTAGGCACCTCATTATTCGATTCGATTACGATTCAGAGGGCTGCGATGCGATTATAAAACGATTATCGATGCATCTCGATGCATCTTTTTTTTCTATATGGCATTTATATTTTCTCACTATGTGAGTTCAGGTTTCAAGTTTATTTGTCATTTGCACAACATGTCAGGACATTTATGTATTGAAATGCTTGTGTTGAGGCACAGGTAATCACTCTACAGAAAGTAAATAAGTAAAAATAAAAATACAAGAAAAAACAACTGAAATATATTAAATATACACAAAATATACACAGAATATAGAGACAATATACATTTTAAAGTGACTAAGTAACTTGGTGTTATTGTTATTTAAAATGACTTGGTACTTTTAAAGAAAAGTATTTGTAATGATCCATAATGAATTTACTTCCAATATCTTTTTTAATAAAACAAATGGAAGTGATGTGGCAAGTGAACTAGAAGGCTCTCATTCAGTGCTCTTGTTTAGAGCACGAGAAGCTGCTGCTACTCATCTGCGATAAAATGCGCAGTTATGGTGAAATAAGATCCAGTGGTAATGGATGTCCACGCAGCACATGTTACAGCTATTCTACCTGTTTTCTTTAGTGATTTTATAACTTCGGTTTTGGTCTCGTTGTAGAGACGGGGGGGGTCACTGTGTCAGTAAAGTATTTTTGAGATGGGACATGTGCAACATAGCGCAAAAGCCCTGTTTCGCAACGACTGAGAACCGGCGTGCAGACTGCAGGTCACATAGCAGCGATGCGTTATTCGCATTTATAAGCACCGCAGTTGGTTTCCTGGTACGTTAAATCTGCAACGAGGGACTGTCACACACTAAAAAGTGCCGAAGATGAAGTCGCTTCTCTTTCGAATTCTCCCGTTCCAACTTAAATGGTGCCGCATTTACATTCGGAGCCTCAGTTAGAATTTAAGGTGGAACGGGTAAATTCGAACAAGAAGCTGGAGAATAAGAAGCAACTTCAGCCTCATAAAACAGTCGAACGTTGAGAGACATTTAACTGACCTACTTCTGAGGAAAAGTTTTCTGGCGGAGATGGGAGGAAAGCGACTATAGCTGAGCTAAAGCTTAAAGCAGAGCGAAGTTAATCTGCCTTTTCGTTTGTATTGTTTAGTCTATACTAGGACATCATCACGTACTGAGACATACTGGACATTAAATGTTGTGGCTCCCAAGGTGGCTTGATTTTTGTTGAAAGGACAAAATGTCTCTTCTTAACATTTGTGTTGTGACTCCTGACCTAACCTGGCTTAATGCAGAGGGAGCCGGTCGGATTTCTCGCTCATCCACTTGTGTTTTTGTTATGTGCCGCCACAGACTGTCCAGGCGCTGCACTTCCGCACTTCCAAGTTCCGCCTTTTGCATTCCGTCAACATTCCGTTATAAATTAAATATTTAGAAAATCGATTTTTGACATTTGTGAATCGATTCAGAATTGTTCACATCCGCATCGCGATGCATCTAAGAATCGATTTTTTCCCGCACCCCTAGTATTGTATGTGTGATTTTGTAATTGCATGCATTTTACCTGAGTTTTTTCATTTATTTAAATCTGAAGAATGTTTGTGATTACTGCATTGATGAATAATTATAGACTAATTTTCACTCTTCTTGGCTGTGTTTGTTGAAGGTGCTGCTGGTGGTGTTTGTGCCTTAGCAAATGTCTTGGGTCAGCAAGTGTGTGAGCTAGCACACCTGTGTACATCAGGGGAGTGGGACAAAGCCAAGGATCTTCAATACCGTCTCATTGAACCAAACACAGCGGTGAGTCTCATATTACCATGGTAACACTGCATTTATATTGACTCACAGGTCAATAAATGCTATGGTAACACTGAATTTTAACTGGACTTTAATAGTGTTGATAATGATAACATAACGGTCCATGTGTCTAAAATTCTGACCCTATCAGTGCCATCCAGGCTGACAGTGACTAATAATGTCCCATTTGCTTAAATGCCTGTGTTTATACTATTTTTAATCCATTATGTGCTTCATTTCTGCACCCTGTTCATTTCCCTCTTAATTTTTAATCTATAAACAAATGAGATTAATTAAACCTAGAATAGTGCATTTCCTGAAGAAAATGCAGAGTTATTGTGCAGCTTAAACTTCTTGCTTGCTGTGGCATGAATTTTGGTTGCTAAGTTAAAGCTAAGAGGTTGCCATGGTGTGTGGGGTGTTTACTAAGTAGTTTTTTGGAGATTGCCATGTGGTTGCTAGATGTTGTTTAAAATGAATGAGAGTCTATGGTAGGAGCAAGGGATGAAAACAGTGAGACATAGAGCAGGGTGGGTTAGTATAGCTATGGATTAAAGCTTGGGGACCTGCCCAGAGTGAGGACATGGAGTTTGCTGGCTGTTGGGCAAAGGAAATAGGCTTGCATGAGGGGAATTAATGTGAGTTTATGGGAGGAACAAATGATGAAAAAATGACACATAGAGGAGTAAGAGTTTGGGGTCCTGCCCCAGGTGAGTACATGCAGTTAGCTGGCTGTCAGTCATAGGATATAATAGGGCTTTTGTTGTGGCATAAATGAGTGGGAGTCAGGGGTAAAAAATGACAAACAGATGAATGCCAGTCAGAACAACATTGAATTCATGCTCGGGGGCTTGCCCTGAGATGATGAATGCGAAATAGTGTCTTTCGGTTGAGCAGATGAAAGGAAAAAAAATGTGGAAAAAAAACGTAATTTCATGAAAATTGTACAAAAAACGTATGTCAGATCAAAAATCTGTATACAAGCACACCACTCCCAATAAGACCAAACATTCCAGATTTGGATCAGTGTCCGGGTGTCTAAACCTGCAAGACAAATTAACAGATAAAAATATGACAGAAAAATAAGAAAGAAAAAAAAAAGAATATTAATAATATAAATCGGAAAACAATAGTGTTGCACATTGCTTTGCAATCACTAATAAAATGACTATACTATTAAGCTGTATGTGGATGCATTTCTTCATTTTGTGGTCAAAAGTTTCATTAACTTGATTTTTTTAGTAATCTATAGTATTAAAAAGTTTGGCAGAGTTTGAAAATTGAATATTCTCTTTTCTGCTTAGCTCTGCTATCTTTCATTTCCTTTCTTTATTTTTACAGTGTCTGAGTTTGTTATGTACAGACAAGCTAGGAGCACTACAAAGCTAAAAGTGGATATGTAGGGTTGAAGAACGAAGTGCATAGAACCCTGTTGTATTTGCTATGATTTTTAGGGTTCAAGTACATAGTGTGTAGAATGTCAGAGCGAGCATGTCAGAGCGAGCATGTCAGAGCGAGCAACAGAGCGAGTGATCGAGAGCAGCCTAGCTTATCGTAAGCTAAATTGTTTTGTTTTATTTTTAATACTGGTGGTTTTCCACCATGCCCACATTCACCTCTCCGCACAGTTGTTAAAGCTGTGCCTGTCTTTCCCAGAAGATAGCAGAGCTGGAGGGCTGAATCACACTTCTGCACCACACTTGCTGGACCCTGCCGCTGGATGCTGACATGCGGCATTTGTGTCAGACCCTGCCTCTTGGCAGATACCTCAACAGAGACTCGGCAATCACCTACTCATTCTCAGGTTCCAGGGAAATTACATTACGCAGCAGCTTCCTAGCTTCCTCAGTAAGCATTCAAATGTTCACAATATGATTATTCACATAGGCTGTAACAACATCAAGGACGAAAAAACTAAACTCTTGAAGAAAGACACACTCAAAAACTGCGGCAAAAGGATTTTTATCTCTGGCCCAATCCCCTCCCTGGGAAGAGGCATGGGATATTTTAGCCGCTTATTAAACCTCTACTTTGCTTCTACAGGACCTGGATGACTTATCGTAATTAAGGGAACCATGAATTCTGCTCTCTATCAGAGAACCCTGAAGGAGAATATCCAGCCGTCAATTTGTGACCTAAAGCTCAGGACAATGCAGCAGGACAATGATCAGAAGCACACAAGTCCACCTTTGAATTGCTCAAAAGAAAAAAACAAATTAAGGTTTTGGAGTGGCAGAGTCAAAGTCTTGACTTGACTTCTATTCAGATGAGATGGCAAGACCTTAAACGGGCAGTTCATGCTCGAACACCCCCCCAGTGTAGCCAAACTAAAACAATTCTGCAAAGAAGAGTGAGCCAAAATGCCTCTTCACATGGGTGATATAGGTTTTCAATAAAGCCATTTCTTCAATAAATGAAATGATCGTTTTAAAGCTGCATTTTGTGTTTACTCTTGTTGTCTGTATCTTACATTAAAGTTAGTTGGATGATCTGAAACATTTGAATGTGACAAATTAGCAAAAATAGAAGAAATCAGGTGAGGGGCAAATACTTTTTCACAGCACTGTATTCCCTTCAAACAAATGGTCAGTTGTTTTCAGCCCACTCTCAGCCCATCTTTTATAGACATTGTCCCTTGACGAAGAAAATTCTACATTTCCTACTGTGGGTATTGCTCTTTTTGCCTGCTTTTGGATTGATGTTCAAACCCTTAATGTGTTTGTTTTGATCCATGTATTATTTATTTTAATTTTTTCAGGGATTGTTTATTTAAGAAATGGAAGAGTAGATAGTGGTATTCCTTGCATGGAATTTTGTTCAATAGAAACCTATCTAGTCTGTAGATCAATGGCCACCCAGTCCACTACTGCGCAGAGCTGAGCCACATTTTTAAGTTTTAACTTTGGTAAACCCAGGCCGCCTTTCTCTTTTGTTACCATCTGTGTTTTTAACTGGCTTCTTGGTGTCTTATTTTGCCAGATAAATTGTGCTATTTGTTTTTAGAATAACCTGAGTATGAACTGTGGTACAGGCACAGGTAAGGACTGAAATAAAAAAAAAAAATAATCTTGGAAGAATATTTATTCTCACTGACTCTAACCCACCAAAAAATTACCATGGCAGCATATCCCACCTGTTTAGATTTTCTTTTTCTTTTTACATTTTTTAAATATTTTTCATAGTTTGAAGATAGTAATTATGTTGTTTTATGTGTAAGAACACATCTTTTAA